ACGGCCGCTCATGTTGTAAACATTACTTATACCCGCAGTCCTTTTCGGTCTTGTCGCGTAATCATGAGACTGATCAACGACAAGGTTTAGTCAAAAGACTGTAATTAGCGAAATACAACAGCGAACCTTGGGTACACATAATTGAAAAACGTTGCCAGGTTCACAGAAGCATTTTTCAATTCCGAAATGTCTTTTTAATGTCAATGTGATTTTCAATCATTATAATACGTAATCTTCATAATCATAATCAGCTTGTTTGATCGCCACTTGCGAACACAGCTTTCTTTGATTTAAAGTGCTTTTCCGCTGCTCGATTTCCGTGATCCATGCATTTCGTATGCAATTACAATTAGTTTATTTAACGTGCGGTGTATGATGAATTTGATCGTTAAGATTGATAATTGATACTTTAAAGAGTTGTTTTTCATTCAAAAGGTAAAAGCAAACTTCAAAACATAAGGATCATGCCGAAACCGTTTCGTATTTCAAAAAAAATATTAAAGCAGATTGTATTTGTTTAATATAAGGAACAATTTCTTAGGCTTATTTCTTGGGTATTCAAAATATTTAACCTGGATTCTTCACTTTAAGTGCGACAAAGTCACTTAAATGAACAATGCAAATTAGCATCGCGTTACCAAAACAATTCCAAGACAAAACTATTGAAAATGCTCTCTGTGCATTTTATCTCAATAACCACGCACTTTTCAGTTTGATTTATTGACTTGTGTTTCTCAGAGCTAGATTTTCGGAGAATTTATAGTAATACTGAGAWGTTTGGATTAAAATTTCTGTTCCCGCCGTGTAAAACAAACTTATCACATTACTGATGTCCTGTCTGCAGTAAGTAGCACCGTGAATGCTAATTTATGCATATTAGTTTTCATTGGGCATTTTTACAAGTCTTCTCGTAGATAAGCCGCACCCCCGATTTGGGAACGATTTTTTTGGAAAAAAATTGCGGCTTATATATGGGTAAATACGGTATCTTGTCGTATGTGAAGTCGCGATAAAACTGTGAGTGTGCTGGATTTGCAGAAGTTCTTCTCACCTAAAGTATCATCAGACTCTTTTGGCCACGCTCGTCCCAGACTTTCGTACATCGCACCCAGTAAATCCTGATCTGTRATCCTTTCTTCCTCGATATCTTGGTGTGTTTCGTCTTGATCATCTTCCTCTTCTTTTGATTCCTGAGGAGAAAATCTTTCAATATACACAACAAAACCAATTATGGAAAACTTGATAATTGTATTATATAATCTCAGCTTCAGTGAAGGTGAATGATTGTATGACTGACTCGTCTTAGTGTCGGATTTTTCAATGAAGGKTATGTGGTTCCCCTTCAACTCCCTCGCCTCATGCTCCGCAACTTTCGTAAATCTTTTTACAAAAAAAACTTAGCTGAACTCAATTTTGACTTTCTTGGTTGTACATATTATATTATGTAGTACTCGGTCATATGCTCAGAACGACTTCACATACTTTCTTTCAAAATTTGCTATCATAGACATATGACACCAAATCGACCATTTAAGTCATCAAAAAAATAAATACAGAGACCATAGAGCAAACCAGAAGACTCAAGTATTAGAAGTATAGTGGTTGCATTGAAAAGGGCCTGCAATTTAGAGTACTTACGGGATCTATAAGAGGGAAGATAAGGTCTGCTAGTTCCTGGAATCTTATCAAGGAGTACTCCTCCACAATTTGACCATAGCAGTCAAGAGCTTTTTTTCTGTATGTTGGATTTTCCTTTTTACACTCCTTGAATACTGAATCAACCACCTAAAGAAAAAAGACCCGAGTAACTATGATCAGCACAAAAGGTGCTCAGACATTACGGGCGATTAAAATATATAAGCATTAGAAATTGTACAAATATTCAATTCCTATTGACAGACAACATTATCCAAAATGCTTAATAAAACGCTGGCTACTACAGTTGAGGCAAAACGCGCCTTTCATGGTTTGCTGTCTAGCAAGCGGCAGGCCTGACCCCCTACAATCCAGYAGGTTTTGCGCAATCTTTATGTGTTGTTCAAGTGCACTTTGTCAAACATAGATAACCCTTTTCGAGTTCTYTATTCTGAGTTACAAGAGTGATTTCTACTTATAAAATTAAACTTACTTGGTGAATGGTTGGTGTAATTGGGGGGTCGGATGACTGAATGGATTTTCTGTTAAAATAATTTGGAATGTTAGACCCGGCACGTTTATCAATTCATTGTATGATACTTCACTTGACACAATTCAAGYACAGCACGTTGTTGTGATAGGTATGGAGTGGTGCTATTTTGTTGTGTCTGTTGACTTACTTGCACTGCTTACAAATATTCAAAATTCCCTCAAGCAACGATTCCTGAAAAAAAAAGAAAGTTCAACCTAATGTGATTTCATGCGCACCTCTCTAAGGCCCTCCTTTCATAAGATAGGTTCCACATAGATACTACAGCCAAATTTTTTTGCTTTCTTTTCCCTGGAGGATTTCAGAGAAAAGAAATTGGCTCTACTACCTAAGGCYACCCTATCTCAGGTAAACAGGCCCTAATCCTAAGCAGGCAGCATACCTTCCCAGTCCATGTTCGCCCAGCAAGACTACTGACTAAAGATTCTAAGAGTTTGCTGAGATGAGGTTGCTGYAGATTGGTACCTAGAAATGAAAATTATTAAAAAAATGATGGAAACAAAAATCCGGTTTTAGACATCAACTGAAACCAAAATTGAACATAGATTAATGAAATTAGAGAATTGAATGAATGGAAATCTGAACAGACATGAGCCCGGACTAACCTAACTTAGAAGCTACACTTGATATTGTGTCAGCGGCTTGTCGTCTAACTGGCCATGCTTGTGACGTTAGAGAAGTACACGCGATGTCTACGATCTCAGCCAAGTAAAGACGAAGGCCTCCTTCTGTACCTAAAATGAATGATTGTTAGAGCAAGCGATTAATATGTAAGTCTGTCTCTAGACACWAATTGTACGTTTGCGGCAACCCTTGTAAGTGACTTCTGTGTTGGCAAAACTCTCATACTTTATAATTATCATAAAATKTTTATTCCAGTGCCTTTCCTGCTAAAACTACATCTTCATTGCGATGATGATCAAACAAACAGTTTTTTGCATGGAAAACGAGAAACTACGCCTCACTAGTCATATAAGAGCCTGCATGATGATGTTGAGGAAGGAATTGACAGTGGTAATGTAGTCCTCTTTGTAGCCTCTCCTTTTGTTGGTTTTCCCGTCTCCTACTTTCGGACAAGAAATTTGACGAAGCCGGAAGTTGTGGCAGTGAGACTGAGACTAGTGGCGATAGCGATGATACATTAAGGACATACTTTAACTCATACCTGGAGTATTTTCAAGCCATATTTCCTCCCAAACAGAATGTGAATTTACCAAGGCTCCGGTGTTTTCTGAAACCATTAAAAACATTATTCCAATATGACATTCCGCAAAATACTAAAACATGAGAGAGAGAGAATAGGAACATGTACGCAACGCCTTTAAGACACGCTACATTGTCGTCCGCCATTATCGGACGTACGATACGGGAATAACCTCAATAGTTCCTATTTCAATATTTCTTATGTTTTGTCCAGAATCYTTTATTGCAATCTCGGATTTTTAAGTATTATTAAAATAAGTCGGATTATTTCAGGTTCAATCGCGCGTGCGGATATGATTTAGTTCAAGGGTCCCTWACACCTCACATAATAGTCGTTATAAGGACATCATACCTGTTTTCTGTTTCTCGTGCATAGCAAAGTACACGGTGGGGAGGGTCTTGGTCACATGTCTCTTCATTACGTCAGGCGAGTAACGCGTCATAGATTGGAATGTATAGCCGCAAGCCAGCCTGAGCCCGTGATCTAAACAAAAAAAAGAACATTATTATCAAACAGATAACACATAGCTACTAGTCCCAATCTAGAGATGATAACATTGTACATCCAAAACTATATAAATAAATAGAACACTAAGAAAGCGACCAGCTTCACTKATAAATATGATTTTGTCTATTCTATAATTTTAAGAAATGTTATATTAGTCTACGACTAAGTTTTTGCAAGTAAGTATAGTAGGTATAGTAACATAATTAAGAAAAGATACTAAATTTCCAAAGAGCTACAAATCGAATTTTAAGTATACAACACCTTCTTTCTCAAAATACCAATTCTTGACTTTTTGAATTATTTTCTCCACACTGCTGTCCTTCGCAACCTACAGAAAGACAGACATGATACTATCACAGCTTATAAAGGCTAACAAATACKACACGATTGTAGCTGACATGACCTGAAGGGTAGAGAGACAKAGAGACAGAAAAAAGGATACCAGAAAAACGGCCAACTAAAAGTCGTTAGGTGTTCGGACTTCTTAGGCCAAGACACGCAAATCTCATATATTATTGTAAGTGGTCTACTGTCTATTGGTGGAGACAGAAAAATCCAACAATATGGATCAAAAAGTCACTCACTTTTACAATGTGTCCTATGGCACTGGCGTATGATTTCCTGACAGAAGAGCTACGATCACTGAGACCTGACAGCAATGCGCTTAACAGTTTGCCTGAGAATTAATGCACCACAACCGATAAAAATCATTATCGATATGACATGGAAATAGTAACGGGAGGATAACCAGAGCGTTTACTGGGCCATCTGGAATGTTATTTTGCCATCGAAGCTAGACGATCGGTTAGCGTGCAATGATAGACATCTGTGAATAATTATCTGTGGATGTGAACAAARGTTGGTTGCTATGATTACAGGCTCAACGGCCGTCTGCTTCGATGCAAAGGAACGGAGAGAAACTGGAAAGAGACTATTCTTTCTTTAGTTATTTCCTATATCATCAAAATGTTCCTATGTTTTCCATTATTGATGTCAATCTTGCCTGCAAACGGTGCGAGTTCTTGAGAACACTGCTGACACAGGGATACCGCAAAACTAGAAGAACCAACCTAAAARATTTCCGCTATTTAGCATTGACATATGCAGCGATAAACTCATAACAGGTTTGTAAATGAAAATTGGCTTTTTATCGAAATACTTACTTTAGTTCCCAGTCCAACCCCACGTCGTAAAAGATCTGAGAGCTTGGGAACAAGTTCAGGTAAAACTGTTTCATCGACATATTGGACACACTAGAGAATGAAAATGAAAATCAATTATTCTGTTTGTGACAATGATAAAAGCTAATGATCACATCATTACCATGTTTACTGTTTCCATCATGGGAGACATCTTGGACGCAGCTATCCTGGCACTTTCAAGCTATTGTAATCAAAATCATGAATAATTCATGAGATAAACACAATGGAAAATCATTGCCGTGACCGCATCTTTATATGAGCATTCAAAAACTCATACATAATTAATGAGCTACTAGSCCAATACAATGAGCCCATTTGGTCACATGCATGGACCTTTATATCTGAGAAAACACTCCTTATTAGTATTCTTTATATAAAGAATACTAATAAGATAAAGGTCCATGACCCTAGCAAAGGTCTCAGGTTTGAAACCTGATCATTTTTCATTGACTCAGATAGCGAAAATTCGAGTTCTGAGACCCAACAACGTGTTTCACGCTCAAAGAAACGGTTCTTTCTTGGTGTAACAATCCCGAATTTTTTCTAGCCAAAAGAGCTGTAAACATACGCAGAGTTAATACCTGGCTTGAATGTGGTATTAAGCCATTACTTAACCTTAGAGAGTGTAAGCTTAATTATTTCATTTCGTTCACGTTTCATTAGTTTTTCTGTTTATGTAATGTCCCAAGTGTATTCGTAAGTCAATTTAGTCGTCCGTTCAGTTAGTTAATTTATTCAGTTTGGCGTAATTTCTGTGTGTGGGTTTGTTCACGATTTGGTAAGTTTTATGTAATTTTACTTCGTTTTACCGGTCCCCAAATGTAACTTTATGTAGGTAATGTATTTTGTATTTGTTGATTGTAGAACCTTACATAATAAAAGAGTATCAAAAGGAAATGAATCCTACATAGTTCAAATCTTCGAATTCAATAGCCAAACTGGTTTCCCTTGTGTCAACATGAGTTTATACACAAGTCCTTACTTGAGATTGCTTTGCTGGTCTCGTATATAATGTCCTCCAAGGGTTATCCGCGAACTCCTCCTCATCCCACGCCGGGACCACCGGAAGAGAGGTCAAGTTTAAGCCTCAAAAGGGCTGTGAGCGCCAATCGTGGTCACTTAACTCGCCTTTATGGGGAGTTAATCAGCTTAATGCAGAGAAACGCCTTCGGACGATCTGAACCCAGGAAGATTTCTTTAGACAGAATCTTCGCCAATTACCAGAAAGCAAGTCTCGAACTCATTCGTATGAGTTCTGTTCAGCAATCGGAGAGAGACGCCATCGCCGCCGAGTACGAGCGACAATTACAAAGGAAAGACAAATTTGACGAAGATTATTTGAGATGGGTCTCGTCGGCCGAAGATAGAGAATACAGTGA